TTTCTGAAACGGTATTCACCAGTTCGCAGTAGCTGATGCAGATCCCAGGGCTCTATCCTTAGTCCCCACCTTACCTGTGTACAGTATCTGTGTCGACCCCTAGAGTTGAACCCGTGACCTGTACATTTGTAACAGCTGTAGGTTGTCGTAGGGTCCACAGGTAGCAGGGATTCGATCTGTAGATCTGTCGAGTAGGAGTCCCAGTCAGGTCTAGCAGTAGTAGCTGTAGCTGTCTCGAAGGGTCAAGGTTGTAGCTGCTACAGTCCAGAAAGGTCAAGGTCGTAGCTGCTACAGTAACGAAAGGCCAAGTCCACGGCCTTCCGGATGGTCCCAGTAGTGGCCTTTCGAAGTTGCCCACGTTTAGGCTGAGGCAAGTGGGCAAGTGGTGAGGCAGGTGGGCAAGTGCTGAGTCAACAGTCCCAGTCCCCAGTCAGTCCTGGTCCAGTCAAGCAAGTACCGCATGGGACTGTGTGCACTACGGGCATGGGAAAGGGCCAGACCAACGAGCTGCAAAAGTATAAATCAAGAGGCAGCGCCCAGTCATTCATTCATTCCTGCGTGAGCCATGCGGAAGCGCTGCCACAAGCGACTTGTGCGAGGTGGTCTGCAGTGAGTCCGAGGACGAAGTGGGCGAGAGAGGAGTGTAGCCATAGCGATAGGGTAGTAGCGGCCATAACCGCCATAGCCGTAGTTAGAGTTCAGTGTGTGTGTGTGTATGTGTTCGGAGTATCGCGTAGTGGGATATCCAGGGTGATCCTGTGTATGCGAACAGAGAGTTCTGTGGGCGCTGAGTCGCCATAGCCATCGAAGTGAACTTGAATCTGAACTGTGTTTTCGGTTACCATATCTCTGAGTTCTGAGTGGGCGCTTGTCGCTAGTTTGCTGCGCACCTGTTTGTATGCGTGAGAAGTGTGAATGAGAGCGAGTCTGATTGCGTTTCTCTTTCCAAGTTCTTTCATTTCAGTTGCAATTGAACAACATTGTCTTTCTTTGTGTTATTGCACTTCAAAATAGCCAGGATCATAATACACAGCAACTTATTCATTTATGCTATTTTCTTCGGGTGTCCGCCTGAGGACATACTAAACTCTGATCTGTATGCTTTTGCAATCAGACTTGTCTTCGACTTCACTTGCGACATGCATGCATACAGGTGTCGATGGCAAAACAACTTTCTTGAAGTAGAATCAGCAACAAGAGTGAGATGGCGCAGTGTGCCCACACAAAAAAACTCAGAGATATGGCCTTCGCCCAGGAACTCAGCTTAAGTCAACTTGTCACATCTTGCAGCTATGGCGTCTGAGCGTCAGTCCTAACTTCCACCTTCACACCATCGGACACACCCACACTTCACTCGCACACATGTACACACACACTAGATCTACCCTGAATGTCCACACACATACACACTACTAACTACTAACTCTGTCCTGCTGGCAGCTGTTGCCACTGTCGTCTTCTTCCTTACTAGCGGCTATACACACTACTTACTTCGGGCTTACACACTTCTTCCTTCCTTACTAGCGGCCATACACACTACTTACTTCGGGCTTCTTGCTGACCACTGGTGAACACAACGCACAAGTCACTCGGGCAACGCTTCTACGTAGTTCCCTAGATAATAAGTGAATGACTGATCGCTGCCTCTTTCTTTATACTGTTTCGTTTGGTGGTCTGAGCCTGCCGATGTCCCAGACCCTCAAGATGTGCAGTCCCACTCTGCTACTTGCTGCAAAAATGGACTGTGACTGGGACAGCCCCTTCGTTTACCCCTTCCGTGTCTGACTTGGGACTCGAGGACTGCTTTAGCCACACGACCTAAGCTACACACGCAAAACATTTGTACACAGTTTTAGGGACATGTCGCAGGTTCAAAACACACAGGGTCAACGAGCGACTATACAGTGGGCTGGAGAAGGTATGGGGATCGAGTCTTGGTGTCCGCAATATTGTGCGAACTGGGTGAAACCCTTTCACTTTCATGGTTTGCTGCCACTACCTCCCTATGAACGTAATATCTCCATCACTAAATATAGTCAACGGATGACTATCGGCGCTGTCACCAGGGGATCCTTGGGGGCCGAGCTGGGGTTGGGGTTTGACCTACATAATCCCGGCATGGGGATCCCTGACCCCCACCGCCGCCCAGCCACCCCTGCCCCTGCCCCTGCCCCAACCCCGCCACCCCGTGTTCCTTTGGCATACTGTACGTGCGTAATGCAGTCTGACTTCCGTCTTCGCCATGTGTAGGAACGCAACAACCTTGTGACGGAGCTGAGGCAACGAGGCTGGGAGAGAGAGGGAGAGAGTGAGAGCACACACACACACTCACTCAACTGGACGCAGACTCGACACGACTCGACGGACGCAGACACAAAGTGGCAAAGTCGCAAAGCCTAAGTCTTGGATTTCCGAACACCCCGTACCGTACGGGGAGCCGGTACAAGTACCGGTGACACGTACGGTACCAGGGGTATTTCTGCAAAGGCCCCGAGGGCAGAACTGAAAAATGCGGTATTTGAAAGTGGCGCCCGAATTGCAGCATGGCGCCAGTTGTCCAAAATCCTACGGTACCAAAGGAGGGATTTGGAAAAAGGGCGCCAGGCCGAAAACGGGATGCAGCCGAAACAGCAAAAAGATAGACCACGGATCGAGCCCTGGCGGAGTCCGTAACACTATCCCCTCCCTCTAGAAGGCAACGTCCCGGCTGCCAAAAATCATGAACCAATGCTGAAATCTGTGAAGGACGGGATGGGGCCGATCACCAGTTAACAAGTTGAAAGGGAAGAGGGGTATAATATGGGTGGCATGGGCTGCGGGAGTAAGAGGGAACAGGGTTTGGTACCGGTGAACACAGTTGTCCTACTGATGAACTAGGGGGGGTTGCAGGGAACAGGGTAGTCCTACAAATGAACTAAAGGGACTGCAGGGAGCAGGGTAGTCCTACTGATGAACTAAGGGGACTGCATGGTTTGCTATAGGTTAAGGGGGAACAGAGTTCAGGGAACAGGGAACTTCTATTGATGTTCTACTGGGTAAGGGAAACGGTGTTCAGGAAAACAGGGTATTTCTATTGATGTTCTACTGGGTAAGGGAAACGGTGTTCAGGAAAACAGGGTATTTCTACTGATGTTGTAGTGGGTAAGGGAAACAATGGTCAGGGGAACAGGGGATGTCTATTGATGTTCTAGTGGGTACGGGGAACAATGGTTAGGGAAACAGGGATCTGCTAATGATGTTCTACAGGGTTGTCAAAGTCAGGAAAAATAAAAATGAAAAATGTTTGTTCAGGATGCAAGGGCTGGTGTGTCCGAAGGAGTCGGAAGCAGAATCTCATGTAGGAACAAWGTGTCCAAGTGTCTTGAAAGGGGGTCTGCAGCGGTCTTGATCAGGTCTTTGGAGTAGGTGGTAGAAGCGGTCTTCAGCGGCTGCGATAGGTAGAAGTCCAAGAAGCGTAGTAGTAGTTCAAGTGTCAAAGTCCAAGTTCTAGGGTGCATCCGGTGCACGAACTGCAACTAGGTCTGACCTGGAAGCAAGGAAGTCGCAGACTGACGCAAAGATCCATGTCACAAGTTGCTGGTCCAGTAAGTCTGCGAGTCGGGATGCCGGCCGATGAAACAGCATGGTGGCCAAACCAGCTGCGAAATCTCCATGAACAGTGAGGCAGCAGGCCATCGTCCTCGTGCGCGAGCCATTAGATCCTTTATCCCGGCGTCACACAGGTTCACAAGCATTGGACAAGAGAGACAAGGTAGTGGAGAGGACAGATGGGACAAGGCTAGGCGAGGGCAAGGGCAGATCAGAGATCAGGAACGAGGGTCAAGGGGAGGGTGGACTGGGTTCAAGGGTGTGTGTAGAGCAGGGTTGCGAGGTTGTAGCAGGCTTTATACAGGGGTTTAGGGTTGGATTGCGAGAGACAGGGGGACAGTGTTTAGGTGGAGGGGGGCCCGGCTGTCGCGGTGGAGGAAGAAGTGGGAGTAGATGGGTCGGGTCCCGTGGAGCGAGGGGCCTGTCGAGTAAAGTGGTTAGCGTTGAGGCAGTTGGTCTGCTGATGACCTAACTGGCGGCAGCGAAAACACTCGTTGTGTTCCTGGAGGTATATGCGTTCTGCGGGTGTGAGTTTCTGGAGGCGACGGGGTGGAGAGGAAGAAGGCGGTCGAGAGGCACAATCCTGGCGTTCCATCCGTATAAGGTGGGCGGTCTGGAGGTCCTCAATTATGAATTTAGAGGGGTCGAGAGAGGCAGTGCCGAAGTCGTCATCGGAGGTAGGTTGAGTGGTGTCGTTTCCCAGGAGGGAGCGGGCGCGGACTCGTGATGGGGCTGGAGGAGTCGATCGTGGTGAAGCATGCGAGAGAGGAGGTCAGCAAGGGGCATGTCGGGTTCGTGGGCGAGGGCGGTTGCAAGATCTTTGTGGCATACTCGCTTGATGCGGGAGATAAACGCAAACTCGGGAATGACGGTGGTGGGGAGGTGATGGCGGAGGGAGCGGATGTATTGGACGAAGCGGTCCGTGGAACCGGTCTGGCGGAGGTGACATAATTGTTCGAGGTAGTCATCAATGGTTTTCTGGGGGCGGACGGTGGCAGTGAGAAGTTTGGCTCATTGGAGGAAGGAGTGACGTGGTCCTCCGAAGGCTCGGCAGTTGCTGACTTCAGCCATCCACCATTTGGCGGCATTGCCGAGGAGGCGGGAGGTGGCAATGGGGAGCCAGTCGGCAAGGGGCATGTGGTGGAGGTGAAAAGAGTTGTGGAGCTGGGTTAGGAAGAGGAAAACGTCCTCGTGGGGGAGGCCGGAGAAGGACATGATTTCGCCGGATCGGAAGGAACCGGGGATTTCCCCGTCACGGGAAACGATCTGGGCGAGGGTGTTGAAGCTGAGGTTATCGGGGGTGGTGTTGTAGCAGGTGTAGTCGAGTTGGTTGTTGTCCTCAAGGAGGTAGTTGGGGGGGAGTTGTGGCATTGCGGGGTAGACCCCGGAGGTGACTTGGGAATAGGTGGGACGGATGGTGGGGATGGTGGAGGTCGTCATGATGGGTTGGGGAAGGGTATGGGAATGCATGGGGGGGAGAGGGGTGACGTGGATGGGCGAGGAATGAGGCGGTGTGCTGGATGCGCCGGTTGAGGGGGGAGGTGGGGGGAACAAAACTATGGTGGAGGTTGAAGGGTTGGTGGATGTGGTGGTAGAGGTGGTAGGAGTGGAGGAGGTCGGCGAGGGGGTGTTGTTGGAGGCGGCTGTGGAGGAGGGAGTGGTTTGCGTTGTGGAGGAGGGAGGTGCGGTCGTGGTGACGACCGTGATGGAGGGGTTGTTCCCTTCGAGCGTGGTGACGCGGTCGGATATGGATGACACAGTGGCCTTTATGTTGTTGAGAGAGGCAGGGACAAAGGTTTGGAGGGTGTTGAGAGTGTGGAGGATGGAGGAGAGGTCGGGGGTGGCGTTTTTTGCTGGTGGTTGTTCGCCTGCGAGGTTGCGGGCGATGCTATCCACAGAGTCGGTGCGGATGTCAGACATGTTGATGGAGGATGCGATCATGTCGGGGGAAGAGGGGGTGGAGGACGCGGCCGGAACGGATGTGGAGGATGTTGCAGCAGCGATGGCTGAGGCGACGGCTGCGGATGAGGTGGAGGCAGGCGCGGCGGCAGCTTCGGCTGCGCGTTGGGAGGTCTTGGATTGGCGTGGTGGCATGCGGAGATTTGGGAGTGGAAGGGGGTCGGGGTGGGGAGGGTATTTACAACATTAATTGATTTATTCATAAATAAATAAAGGTATTTGCAAAAACAATGAAGGAATAAAATGGGAATTAATTCAAAATAAATTATTCCGATTTGGAGTGATTTATTCGAGATTAATTCAAAAATTCAGAAAGGATTTTGTGGGAGAAAAGTTGAAAACACGAAATTTTCAGGAATGAACTAAATGCTGAAAATATCGAAATAATAATAATAATAATAATAATAATAATTCATTTCGAGAAATAAATTCTGGTTAAATTATTCGAAATGGATTTTGGGGTATGAAAAGCGTGAAATTTCGAAAGGAATTAAGTAAATTTATTGTTGAATTTTGAAAAAAAAAGAAATATTGAAAAAGAATTTAATTAATTCTAACGTGTTTTCAAAATTTTCGAAAAAGAATGAATGAAAAGTAGTTTCAAAATTTTCAAAAAAAGAATTAATTAGAAATGTTTTCGAAAAAGAAATGTCGAAAAAGAAATGTCGAAAAAGAATTTAACTAGTTCTAAAATATTTCGAATTCGAAAAATAATTCATTATTATTATTATTTTTTTTTAATTTTGAAGAAGAAATGCTGAGAAAGAATGATTAATTCGACGTATGTTCGAAAATTTCAAAAAAGAAAATATTTGTGAAAAAGAAATGCCGAGAAATGAAGTATTTGCGAATTTACAATAATTTTAAATGAATTTTGAAAAATAATAATAATAAATAAGGAATAACTGGCTAATGAAGTAAAGCGAGGTCGAAGTGATCCTATCTATGATTGATTGGTGATGGTAATGGTGGGGGGGGAGTGGGGGGAGAGTGGGGGAAGTCGCGTAGGGG